GAGGGAGTTACTTTTTTCAAGTGTACTTTGCACAGTTGACAGCCAATTACAGATAGCCAATTTCACCATTTCTGCTGTATAGTTAGTTTTCCCTGTTTGTGTGGGTCTTTCATACCCCAACAGTATCTGAAACTTGTTTTTAAACTGACAGGTTTCAGAGTAGCAGCCGTGTTAGTCTGTATCCACAAAAAGAACAGGAGTACTTGTGGCACCTTAGGGACTAAGGCATTTATTAGAGCATAAGCTTTCGTGGACTACAGCATATGCATATGCATATGCATCCGAAGAAGTGTGCTGTAGTCCACGAAAGCTTATGCTCTAATAAATTTGTTAGTCTCTAAGGTGCCACAAGTACTCCTGTTCTTTTTAAACTGACAGGATTTTAAAAGTGATGTCTCTTTAAAAAAGGTTAGTTTCCATGCTTTGTTATTTGTGTGTAGCATCTACCATTAGAAGTTGAATGATCTAGTTATTTTTTAAAAACCCACATAATTCAAACAACACTATTTACATAGTAGTAATTTTATATTCACCACAATCATTCTTCCATCAGAAGTAATTACTGCAACAGTACCTAACAGTACAGTCAAGGAAATGTTTAAAGAAAACATATTCACAGCTTGAAACAAGATGAAGGTGTTACGTTCAACACAAATCTGTAATATAAATTATGATTCAAGAGATTAACTTTGTGCCTTAAGAATTTCTTACTCAAGTTAAAGAAATGTGTTAACTGACTGATAAAACCAACCTCTGAAATTAGCAGTGGTCTGGGATAATTTTTTTGTTCTGTCAAACCAGCATCATTGTGCTTTCATTTGCAGGAGAGCCATAAATCAAAGCAGCAGACCCCCAAATACATAGAGTGAAGTATTTTGCTTTATCATCAGGACAGCCTCAGACAGCCAGTGCTGGCTCCCTAAAGCATTTTAGGTATGCCATCCCATTAGAGTTTCTGAATCTGGGCTATTTATTTTGTTCATCGATTCACTGAATTTAAGACCAGAATTGGATCATTAGATCATCTAGTCTGACCGGCATATCACATTTCACCCACTTACCCCCATATTGTCCACCTTAACTTGTGTTGGGCTAAAACATATTACCCCAAAAACCAACCAGTGTTGTGCTGAAGACATCAAGAGATGTAGAATCCACCACATCCCTGGCTGGTTTGTTCCAATGGTAAATCACCCTCACTACTAAAAATGTATGCCTCATTTTCAATTTGAATGTGCCTTGGTTCAGAGTAGTGCCCCGATCTGTTCAGACCTGGAGTTTTCATCCATAGAGCTCAGAGTGGGTCACGGCCATTAGCCTCAGTTCGCAGATGGGGAAACTGAGGCACGAACATTGACGTGACCTGCCCAAAGTCAACCAGCAGAGCAGTGGCGGAGCCCAGAACCAAACCAGGTCTCCTGAGCCCCAGCTCAGTGCTCTGCCCTCTAGGCCGCGCTGCCCCACGCCAGACGGCACCAGGAGGTCTCGCTCTCTTTAGGGCACCGTGGGCAGCACTGGCCCAGCCCCCTCCCCGCAGAGCCCCACGGACCGGGAAGGCCGTAGCCTCCATCTCCCCCCGGGCTGAGCCGGTGTGTGTGGTGGGGGGAGGGGCTCCCACAAGGGTCTCGGAGGAGCAGCCGCCACCGACCCCTGAGGGGGGAAGGGGAGGAAGAGAGGGCGCTGTAGACCCCCCCCGCTGCTCCCCAGCCCGCCCTCCGCGGCACACAAGCCCGTCCCGGCGGAAGGATACGGTTGATGTAGTTCTCCAGCGCGGAGGTCATGGCGGCGACGGCTCCGTTCCGCGCGCTGCTTGCTAGCACCACCGGGACCGGCAGCCAAGTCCCGCGAGACTTCCCGCGCCAAACGTTGAGAGACGCAGCTGGCCTGCCTCACTGCGCACGCGCAGGATTGGGAGGGGCGGGGAGGGGAGATGTGGGGGGGCTTTCCCGCGGCTACGACAGCCTCCTGGGCGGGGCCAAGCATTGGCTCCTCCCCCGCCCTCCCTCAGGCTGAAGAAGGAGCAGGGCGAGTTCTCGGGGGATAATCGGGCTCGGGCTTCAGCGCTGGGCTGGCGGCGGCGGGACCAGGGCTCCGGCCACGGGGCTTCAGTCGCCAACTCCCAGCTCCAACCGCGGGGGTTCGGGGCTGACCCCCAGCGCTGGCCGCGCGGCCCATGGGGCTTCAGGTTCCGACCCCTGACCGTGCCGCAGCGGGCTCTCACCGCGGCTCCGGCCCCCAGCTCCAGGGTCTGGGCACGGGCACTGACCCCCGGCCCTGGGTGTGCCGCTCTTGCCGCGGGCACTGACTGACGGCAGCGGGTGCCAACCCCCGGCTCCAGCTGAGCAGTGGTAGGGCTCACCACCCACCCCCATCTCCCCTGGACCCCACTGCCTTCCTGCATCCATCCCTCCATTGCCCTGGGCTCCCCTCCCTCTGCTACCCCAGCCCCGCATCCATTCCCCCGTGCATCCCCTCCACCCCACCCCCGGGCTTAATTTGTTCTGGGACTTGCTGAGAAACGTGATATTAACAAACATGTAAGTATCTCTTTTCACAGCAGACATACTAGCTAGCTGGGAGGCTGTGAAAAGTGATACTTGTATGTATGTTAATATCACTTTCCACAGCCTCCCAGGTAGCTATTAAGTGTCCTGTGAAAAGTGATTGATATTTAACAAACATAAATATCACTGTTCACAGTATTATTTTTATTGAGTCTGCATAAAAACCCCTACACAAATACAATGATTTGGATATTTATATGTCTGTATTCATTTGTTTTTCCTAAAGTTAATTAAGTATTTTGGGGGGAAAAATGTGTGTGTGGCCACCAGCAAGAGTTGGTTGCTGCACTCTGAGGTCACCAACAATTTTGTTGTGAGAATCTCTGGGCTAGAGCATCTTTTAGAAAGACATCTTGCTCTGATGGAATTGTTACAGAAACAATTGAATGTTATGTTTCTCACTGGAGGCAGAATATAATTCTCCTCTTCAATACCAGGTGGTCAAAGTTTGGACAAGTGCCAAATGCAGGCCTTGGAGCTCCATGTCATGGCCTTACTCATTTCAGTATCAGTGTAGCACAGGCAGATAGCAGCTCCTGTCAGACGATGTGCTGTCTTGATCTCAGTGGCCTAACCATGCTACATTCGGGGATCAGTCATCTCTGCAGACAACTGCATTTTATACACAGTATCTGCAAGTTCTTAGCAAACAGCCACAGCAGAGCTGGGCCGATCTGGGCAGCCTAGTCTCAAGCACCCCTGTTCCTGTGGCTCGCTTGGCAGGACACAGTCACAGTCTGTATCCAGAGCTGGGCAGAGGGGCAGTTACTGGGGCCCTGCCCTTTGCCCCCCTGCCATCACACGCTGACTTGGAAGCGTTAAAAACTCAGCCACTTTTCTCCCACCCCCCCCACGACAGCCCAGGGCAGGCTGCAGGCACGCTCCTCCCATCTGCCACCCAGCAGGGGTAGGACTGCAGGGGCACGGAGCTGGCCTGGGAGACCACAAGCTCTGGGCTGCAGTTGCAGGCCTGGCAGTCCCTTGCCTGGGAGGGACCCACAGCTGCCGCCCAACACCTATCGCCTCAATCCTCTCTGCACCACCCCACCACAGCCACTCTGGCCTGCACATGCACACTGAGTGTAACCACAAGCATGCCTACCTCTATTCATCCTCATAAGCTTTTAAGCGAATGCACACTGAGGTGTTCTGGCTCCAACCAGCCGCTGCAAATTCCTGCCCTAAAGCAGCACGTGATAGGTGTCAGCCCTGCCTGAGATTTACGCAGTTTAATCAGCGCATGTGCAACAGGTTCAACTCCCTAGTCCAGTCAAAAGTTGTGGGCCTGATGCAGGAGTTAGTGGGTGAAATTCTACAGCCTATGTTATGCAGGAGGTCAGACAAGGTGATCATAATGCTTCCTTTTAGCTTTAAAAATCTATGAATGACAGTGTGTTTCATCTCCGAGGCAGTCATCACTTGGTTGCCATATAAGCCTCTGATCTTATCTCCTGCTCTGCCCTTGTTCTGCCTATGTGTCGTGTCTATGCATCCATTTATCTCCACAGCTGGCTCCCTACTTGCTCCTATCTTCCTCACATCCTCGTTAATCATAATTAACATAGACAATGTTTCCTCAACCTCTTAAAAAAATATCTGTAAAACTCACTTTGTGATAAATTCTGAATAAAATGATCTTCTGCGACTTTGTTTCTGTACTGTATTGAACCAGCCTTAGAATATAATCCCTTCAGGGCAGGATCTATTAATCATTTGGTACACCTTACCTGTTGTACTGCACTCTGTACATGTATTTATGGTTCTATACATGGTAAATAAAAATAATACATGTATTTCTGCCAAGTACATATACACTATTCTGTTTAGTTTCTCAGACCTCACTCTTCACCTTAGTATCTGAGTGCTTCAAATTATTAATGATTATTTATTATTTAGTAAATATTGTTGAGAACATGCTAGGTGCTTTACATACATGTAGAAAAAGTGATTATGAGTTTCATATGGTTAGGGCCAACCCCCATAATCCATATGTCATTAAAAAAAAAACTGCGAAAAAAGGGAGCAAGAAGTGAGCAAAGTAAAGCTTCCAAAGGCAGGTTTAAATTGCATCTTTTCTTCTCAGCCCTGTGAGAAAGTAGTTGTTATTGATGGCAATGTGGGGATTATTGCTCCTTGAGGGGGAATAAGGTATACTTACAGGATGGATCATTAACAAATTGAATATATGGCATATTGGTGACACATGGGTTTTAGCCCATGAAAGCTTATGCCCAAATAAATTTGTTAGTCTCTAAGGTGCCACAAGTACTCCTCGTTCTTTTTGTGGATACAGACTAACACGGCTACCACTCTGAAATATGTATTGATGTCATACTGGTGAGATGCACTTATCAGAATTTGTATGCATTGCAGCTTTTCACCTTTGGAAGATCAGTTTTCCATTACTGAATGAGGGGATATTATGTCCATTACAGATTTGTCTCTGAATGCATCAGATGTCTGTTGTGGATATAATTTCTGTTCTGAGTGTTGTTGTGTTGAAATTCTTTATTGCATATAATTATAAACTGCAATTCCAACAACATAAATATCAAGGAGAACCTCATTCTAGGTCTGACAGGCATGACTATTGCTCAAGTGACATGTAAAATACTGTTAGACATGATACATTGCACAATTTTCTATGTATACATTTATATCAAAGTCAGATGCCTGCTTCTTATACCTTACTGAATGGACTCTCATATGATATTCCCACTACAGGAATTCAGGACCGAAAACCTATTACACACTCACTCTGTTTATTTTTCAGCTGATGTTAGTGACTCTCATGCTACCACTTGGCATTCCATGAAAAGAATCTCTTACATCTGAGCTGAATGCTGTAACTATATGCAATCTGCTGTGTGTTGGGTCATCAGGAATTATAAACAAGAGAGCTTTTGTAATGTTTGGGCAAAATTTGCTTTTTCCACATATGCAACATCCCCATTCACTGAACATATACTCATAGGGTGCTGATCACCCTGAAAATTCATGCTGGGATGTTAAGTTGCTATTTACACATCCCTATTTTGAAGTATCCTTTTCACCTGTTATTTTTTTTTAATTCAGAAGGGATGTTCTGGCCCTTCTCATCAGTTTTTATTGTGAACTGGATTGATACATCCAGTAACTCATTTATCAAAATGAGTTAGTCATTCTCCCTCTCTTTTTCTTGAAAGAGATAATGAAGTATTAAAAGAGACATTCCATTATCATGTCAAGCAGTGAAGAAAGGAGTATTTTTATTTGTACAAGACATAGTAAACCAGTTTGGTTTTATATAGTGCCTTTCATGCTAAAGGTATCTCAAACACTTAACAGAGATCAGGCTAGATACATGGAGACAAATTTTGTGGCCCACTCCACTCCCTTTGTACTGCTCCAGCAGCACAAAAGGAGCAGAAACCAGTTAGATCTCACTTACTGGGAATTCCCCCATCTTGGTGAAATCCTCAGTGTGTGCAAAACTGACATGTCTGGATCCCTTGCCACCCACCCACTGACCTTAGGGGAGGGGTATAGCTGATCAGCAGCACTCTGCTTCTCTCTGGCAGACAGATGGTCCCTGGGAGGGGGCCACAGTCAGCCAGCATAGCACTAGCCTCAGGAACACGGAGCTTCAAGTATCTCTCTTTTGCCCCCCTGTTCCCTTTCATCTATATCCAGCTGAGAATCTGTCCCTGATAGTACAATGAATTACTATATACAGACAGAGACAAAGTAGGTGACATAATATCTCAAGGGTGGGCAAACTTTCTGGCCCGAGGGCCACATCGGGGGTTGCAAAACTGTATGGAGGGCGGGGTAGGGAAGGCTGTGCCTCCCCAAACAGCCTGGCCCCTGCCCCCATCCAACCTCTCCCACTTCCCGCCCCCTGATTGCCTTCCTCAGAACCCCTGACCCATCCAACCCCCCCTGCTCCTTGTCCCTTGACCATGCCCCCTCCCAGGACCCCCAAACCCCTTCCCAGGACTCCCACAACTATCCAACCCCCATGCTCCCTGACAGGCTCCCCAGGACTCCCACACTTATCCAACACCCCCCCCAGAACCTCTGCTCCATCCAATCCCCCCGCTCCCTCTCCCCTGACTGCCCCCCGGGATCCCCTGCCCCTTATCCAACCCCCCGGTCCCCTTACCATGCCGCTCAGAGAAGCATGTCTGGCAGCCGTGCCGCCCGGCCAGAGCCAGACACACTGCCTTGCAGGAGCGCGCAGCCCCACTGCCCAGAGCTCTGCCTGCGTGGCTGTGTGGGATGGGAGGGGGGGCAGAGCCGGGCTGGGGACTAGCCTCCCCGGTCAGGAGATCAAGGGCCAGACAGGGTGGTCCCG